TTCATACCATTTCTAAATGTTGAAGTGAACCACTCATTTTAAATCAACTGTGAAACAGTCTTAATGATTTTTTTATCCTCGTTTAAATTAGAAATCAAGTAAAATGTCTATTTACAAAGTAATTATGCGTTTTGATCTTTTGTCTGAAATGAGAAGTAGTGATGTCGGTCGAAAATCAGAAAGGAGTTATTAGAACGAAGTGGATTGTTTTTAAACCTAGCAGACGGTAAATAAGAAGCTTTTGGCACCTGCTTCGCCATAACATGTCTTCTGTCTGTACTGAAAGTCTCTAAAACATTCCTGCTGTTTTCTTGACTTGTAATGACCCTCTGACATCACTAGAACCACCCCTTGTTGGTTTTTTCAACCAATCAGGAAGTCCTGAAGTGACCAGAAGTGAGAACTCTTTAAGAGTCCACACTTCCTAGAACTTCTTAGTCTTCGGTCATCTGGGTCTGTCAGTCAGTCTGTCAAGTCTCCTGAGCTCCTCAATTGGGTCTCTGATGAAGTCTAGTCTTGAACTTAGTCTTATGCGCCTGTGATAGATTCTTCCACATCTGAGTGGAACCTCTGACGGACTCACAGCTTGCTGTATATCCACCCGGGAGATGAGCGTGTTTGTTGAACAGAGTACCGTCACTACTTCGGACGATTCTCAGCCATTCTGACCGTAGACGCTGAAAGGTAGCGTTGAAATGGACCTCTGTACCAGAGCTGACCTATCTTCTGCAAAGGTAATGAGTTGCCACGCACCGAGTGTACCAGGGCTGAGCTGGGGTCAGATGAAGGGTGCCATTCCTAATCAACACACTTTCCCTCATCCATCTTTTCTCTCCATTTAAACTCCTTCATTTCCCATCTTTAAACTCTCCTATTTTGCCAGTAGTCTAGATGCCTTCTTCAAGTTCTGTTGTCTTATTAAGTAAAACGTGCCAAGTTTTATTAATCAGAACCAGATCAGCTAATCAAGTGTACAATGTTTTGATGTTAAATTTTGATTCTGTTCAATAAATGACCACATTTATTCTGATGAGTCAAAGGAAATTAACGTCTCATGTCACTGATTAAACAATCCATGCACAGTTACCTAGGTCACATGGCAGTAATTTAAATCGAAAAAGAGAGAACCCGTTTATTTAAATAATTAGTAGTGAGAGGGTGAAGCTAACCTAGCCCTTAGCACACTACACAGTGAAAAGTAACAGGTTGTACAAGAAGTCTGCTCTTACAAACAAAACAAAAATAATCTTATTTCCCCATCAGTATTTCCCCTAGTCAGATGTAAGCGGATCAAAGTTTAAGTTTTCTCTGTCATGCTTAAACCCATTAAGAACCCTATGTGAATGAATACGCTTTGTACAAGAACTGTTGGACATCAGATCTTGACATAGAGGAGTCACTTACCTGGCAACATACAGTAAAAGTTATTAAGAATTTGTGTCAGAAGTGAGACATGAACCTGAGCATCCAGGAGACACAGCAACTGTAATTCAGTGCCTCAGACCACTCAGCCACCCTGATGTTTATGCTCTCATGTAAAGTAATGTGTAATGGGCTGTTTGAAATTTTGGCGCTTACGAAATGGTATGTTTTGAATATTGCTTCAGTTGTACACCTATAGAATTTAGCTAGAGCGCAGTTTAAATTTTTCACTCATGCTTAAATACTGATAAAATCATCATAATGGGTGATTTCAATATTCATGTAGATGTTGAAAGCGATAGCTTAAGCATAGTCTTTAATAATTTAATAGACTAATTTGGTTTTACCCAAAACGTCCGCACATCTATTCCTTCTTATAATCACACTCTTGATTTAGTTCTGACCTATGGTATAGAGATTAAGGACTTGGTAATTGTTCCTCAAAATCCAATTCTGTCCGACCATTTTTTTTTTATAACCATTTTTTAATAACCTTCGAGTTTACATTAAATGACTACACAGTCACTGAGAGTAAATTTCATCTCAGCAGGTGCTTATCAGAAAATGCTGTAACCAAATTTAAACAATATCTTCCATCAATGTTTTCCTCTGTCTTGCAAAGTAATGCATCAGAGAACAGTGACTTAGATCATCTAGTTGATCATCTTACAACTTCAATGACAACTTCACTTGAAAAAATTGCTCCAATGAAAAAGAAAGTAATCAATCACAGGAAACTGGCTCCTTGGTTCAATTCTGAGTTACATACTTTAAAGCAGGCATCTAGAAACCAGGAGAGAAAATGGCACTCTAGTAATGTTGAAGAATTTTATTTAACTTGGAAAGATAGTCTGCTAACATATAAAAAAGCTCTCCGTAACGATAAAAATTTATATTACTCATCTTTAATAGAGTAGAATAAAAATAACCCTAGGTTTCTGTTTAGTACTATTGCTAGACTAATTAAAAGTCCCATTTCTGTTGAACCATGTATCCCTACAACTATAAGTAGTGATGACTTCACGAGATTCTTTATAAAAAAAAAAATGATTTCAGTTAGAGAGAAAATTCAAACCATCCTTCCTTCTACTATCTCTAGTCCCCTGTCAAATGAGGCAACTAAAAATTTCACTAGAGCCTGATTTATGTTTGGACCGTTTTTGTTCTGTTGAGCTCTTTGAATTGCCAAAAATAATAACCTCATCCAAACCATCTACATGCCTGCTAGATCCCATCCCAACCAGACTGTTTAAAGAGGTATTTCCCCTAATTAATGTCCACATTTTAGATCTACTTAATTGGTCTTTAATGGATGGTTATGTACCACAGCACTTTAAGGTTGCTGTTATTAAACCTTTACTTAAGAAATCTGACCTTGATTCAGAAATTCTGGCCAACTATAGACTTATATCTAATCTAACTTTCATCTCAAAAATTCTAGAGAAAATAGTTGCAGGTCAGTTGCGTGAACATCTACAAAGAAATAATCTGTTTGAAAAGTTTCAGTCAGTGTTTAGAGCTCATCATAGCACAGAAACAGCACTAGTAAAAGTAACTAATGATGTTCTCATGGCCTCAGACGATGGACTTGTGTCTATACTGGTCCTGTTAGACCTCAATGATGCATTTGATACAGTTGATCACAATATTTTACTACAGAGGCTTGAATATGATATTGGGATTACAGGAACAGCTCTGAAATGGTTTAAATCATATCTATCTGATAGATTCCAGTTTGTAAATGTAAATAATAAATTTCTTCATACACCAAAGTTAGTCATGGAGTTACTCAGGGCTCAGTGCTTGGGCCAATACTCTTTATATATGTTTCCATTAGGTAAAGTTATTAAACAGCACGGGCTACATTTTCATTGATATGCTGATGACACACAATTATATTTGTCCATTAAACCCAATGAATCCAATCAGCTACTTAGACTACAAGTATGTCTTAAAGACATAAACTCCTGGATGACCCTTAATTTTCTCCTGTTGAACACAGACAAGACTGAGGTTTTGGGTTTTGGACCTGAGCACCTTAGGAATTAATTTGTCAGTCTTTCTCCCTCCTTAGATGGCATTAATCTGTCCTCCAGCTCTAATGTTAAAAATCTTGATGTTATTTTTGATCAGGACATGTCTTTTATACCCCACATTAAAAATGTTACTAGAACCACCTTCTTCCACCTGTGTAATATCACTAAAATTAGAAACATCTTATCTAAAAATGATGCAGAAAAACTGGTCCATGCATTTGTCACGTCTAGACTTGACTATTGCAATGGTTTATTTTCTGGATGTCCAAATACGCCTTTAAAACATATTCAGTTGATCCAAAATGCTGCTGCCAGAGTCTTAACTGGAGTTAGTAGGAGAGATCATATTTCTCCAGTTTTAGCTTCTCTCCATTGGCTCCCTGTCAAATCCAGAATAGAATTCAAAATCTTACTTCTAACCTACAAAGCTGTCAACAACCTGGCTCCATCTTATATTACAGATCTTGTTCCATATTTTCCTAAGTGAGCACTTCGCTCTCAGACTGCAGGTTTACTTGTGGTTCCTAGAATTTACAAAAACAGAATGGGAGGCAGATCTTTCAGTTATCAGGCTCCTCTCTTGTGGAACCAACTTCCAATCTCTGTCCGTGAGACTGACACATTATCCAGTTTTAAAACTAGGCTTAAGAAAATCATTTTTGCTAGATCCTATAGTTAGGGTCGGCTTGGATTTCCAGAGCTGTCCCTTAGTTATGCTGCTATAGGCTTAGACTGCTGGAGGACAAACTGACCACAATTTTCACTCTGCTACTGTCTTTAATTACTCTGCTCAACCTGTTTTGTATTTGTAATTATTTTTTCTATCCTTACCTTATTTTTTTGTTGTCTTTCAGATACACCTGGACCTACAATTCTGTGTTCATCTGTCTCTCGTTCCTGTCCTCTCACCCAGCCGGTCAAAGCAGATGGCCATTGTCCTGAGCCTGGTTCTGCTGGAGTTTTCTTCCTTTTAAAAGGGAGTTTTTCTTTCCACTGTTGCCACTGTGCTTGCTCAGGATGGGAGACTGCAACGAAGCCAAGATTCAACTTGTCTGCTGGATTCCTTAGATAGAGAACTTTACTAATTGGCTTTTATGTATGTGAATGTTTCTGTAAAGTGCCCTGAGGCAACTTTGTTGTGATTTGGCGCTATATAAACTGAATTGAATTTAATTGAATTACCCACTACTTTACAAGACAGCATAAACATCAGGGTGGCTTAGTGGTCTAAGGTGCTGAATTACATTTGCTGTGTCTCTTGCATGCTCAGGTTCATGTCCCACTTCTTACACAAATTCTTAATAACCTTTACTGTATGTTTCCAGGTAACTGACTCCTCTATGTCAAGATCTGATGTCCAACAGGTCTTGTACAAAGCCTATAAATTCACATACGGTTCTTACTGGGTATAAGCATGACAGAAAAAACTTCAACTTTGATCCGCTTATATTTGACAAGAGGAAATACTGAAAGATTGTTTTGTTTGTAATGGCAGACTTCTTGTACAACCTGTTACTTTTCACTGTACCTTAATGATTACATGTCAGTGTTGCCGAGTGGTCTGAGGCGCTGCGTTTAGGTTGCAGTCTCCTTTGGAGGCGTGGGTTCGAATCCCACTTCTGACACACTTTCTTGATTACTTCAACTGTGTGTCCCTAGGAAAATTACTAAAGTAAGTCAAGACCTGGTATCCAATGTCTTGTACAAAGTGTGCGCATTCAATCAACAGTAAGTATTGTCTAGTTTAAGCATGACTAAATTGGATTTAAACAGAGTTCCATTGACATCTTACAGGTTCATGGCTGAAACATTATTCAATGCATACCAATTATTTTAGGTCTGACTTCTCAAACAGACTATTACACATCACTTTCATTGCAAGCATTCATGTCAGAATGGCTGAGCGGTGTAAGGCCATATGTTTAAGTCATAGTCTCCCCAGGAGGCGTAGGTTCGAATCCCAATTCTGACAGTATTTCTTAACATCAACTGAATGTCCCCAGGTGTTGAATCATCTATGTCAACACATGTTACCCATCATTATATGTAAAAAGCCTAAAGTTCACTTAAGCTTCTTATCAGGTTTAAGCATGACTGAAAAAGACAAACTGAGTTGCACCTATATATTAGCAGGGGAAAGAATGAAAACTTATTCAAAGTCTAATGTTTAGTTTCTAAAAGCTAACTTCTTGTAGAGCATGTAGCATTTCACTTTACATAAAAGTTTGCTTGTCAAGGTGGTGAAGATGTCTAAGGCTCTGCATTTTGATTGCAGATTTCTCTGGAGGCGTGGATTCGATCACACTAAGTAGACTATTTAGCCCCGAGCAGCTAAGCGCTGCGAAGGCAGCTAAGCGTTGCGAAGGCCTATTGAAATCGCTCTGTTCAGGCCCGAGCTGCAATTTTTTCCGCCAAATGAATTAGCATTTTGGGGGCCTTAACATATCCCAAAAGTCACCAATTTTCGCGGACGCATCAGGACTGGTGAAAAATTACGTATTTTAAGGGCGTGGCAAAAATCGCAACAGAAACGGCTCAAGAGCACCACCTAGAAATTTTCAAAATAACCTCCGCATTAATTCAAAAAATGTTCAATACAATACAAACACATTAATCTTATTTTGTCATAGAAATATGAAATTTGGTACACTTGTCCAATTACCCAAGATGTACAGAAAACCCTCTGGCACCAATGTTGTATGATAAACAGGAAGGTGGCCATTTTGGAATGTTGTCCCAATTTTCACACCTTTTTGGCGGTTTACAGCATACACATTTGAACTCTTATTCCTATCGATTTCACTCAATCGGTTACAAACTTGGCCATTTTGGTCAAAAGGCATGGGGGATGAAAAGTTAACAAAATGGTGCAAACTGAAGCATGCTGAAGGGGTGGGGCCAGACCTGAAAGTTTGGCATCTCGCCATGAAAAACGAAACACTACTAGCTCCTACAAGAAAACTGTCTGAGACATCAAACCTTCAGTGATTGATCCGCATCCGGTCCCCTGCAAGACTGAATGGTCAAAGCAAGACATCACTTAAGCCACGTCCCCTGACAAGAGGAAGTGTAAAGTTTTACCTTGAACGGTCCCTATCTGAGCCCTGTCACCTGATAAGCATGATAGTGTGGCCAGTGGCCGAAGACATGTTAGTGTAACTTGCTTTCCAACACTGACAGTTTGGAGTGGAGTATGTGGGCGTTGCAACATGGCGAAGTAAGACGTAACACCGTCGCCATACGTTTGGCTTTAAATTCCACAGATATGAACCGAGGTGCACCAAAATCAGTTTGATCGATCATTATCCACCCCTTGAACAGGAAGCCATGATAATTGGCCAATAGCCTCCACAGTGCCCCCTAGAATATTTCAAAACCTCAGCCTCAAGCCAGCTTTTTACCAAGAATTCTGAAACTCAGTGAACATCTGTATTGTCTCAGGACCTATGAAAAAGGCTCTTGGAGCCTTGATCCAAAACCAACAGAAAGTTGGCCATTTTGGGTAAAAGGGTCATTTTTGGGCATTTCTAATGACGAATTTTAACAAACTCCTCCTAGGGATTTTGAGTGATTGCCTTCAAACTTGGTTAATATGCCCTTAACACATTGGGGAGTAAAAGTTATACAAAGCTTTCAGTTTCGTTTAGGTTAAAGGGGCGTGGCCAGGCCTCAAAGTTGTGCTTCACACCATACATTTCCAAACGCTATAACTTTCACATTGAAAGACTGAAATGCACCAAACTTGGCATGACTCATCCCTGTTGGATGTCCGACGATCCACTGTCGTCATATTTTGACGTCATCAAAGCCCTTCTGCTCAGAACAGGAAATCTCTTTTTTTACTTGGAATGCTCCCTCTTTGACACCATTGACCTAATCAGGATGATCCTGGGAAAGAAGACAGATAAGATGGTCTGACTTGATTTAAAGCACAAACCGTTTTTGCTGGAGGATGTGGGCGTGGCGGCGTGGCGAATCAATGAGTGACGCCGTTGCAATACGTTTGGCTCTAAAATACACAGATTTCAGTCAGGGTGAACCAAAATCACTATGATCAATCATTATCCACCCCTTGAACAGGTATCCATGATAAGTGGCCAATTTCCTCCACAGCGCCACCTACATTGTTCCTATACAGTTATAGCTCAGTGATACATCATCCGATCTGCACCAGATTTATTGTGTGTGATCAGTGAGCACTTCTAGAAACATTGATATTGTTGTTTAACATATGACTCTAGTGCGCCCCCTAGATTATTCTAACAGTTATATCTCAAGAATACATCATCCAATATGTACCAGATTTATTGTGCCTAATCAGTGAGCACTAGTGGACACATTGGTATTCTTCTTTAACATTTGACTCAAGTGTGCCCCTAGATTCTTCCAACAGTTATATCTCAGTGATACATCACATGACCTGCACCAGATTTTTGGTGTGTCATGAGTGAGCACTTCTAGACACATTGGTATTGTTGTTTTACTTTTTAACTCCAGTGCACCCCCTATATTATTCAAACTGTTATATCTCAGTGATACATCATCTGAAATGCATCAGAATTTTGGTGTGTCATCTGTGAGCATGTCTAGACACATTGGTGTTGTTCTTTAAATTTGATTCAAGTGCGCCCCCTAGATTCTTCCAACAGTTATATCTCAGTGAAATATCATCCAATAGTACCGGATTTATTGTGCGTGATCAGTGATCACTTATAGACACATTGGTATTGTTCTTTAACATTTGACTCAAGTGCACCCCCTAGATTATTCTAACAGTTATATCTCAGTGATACATCATCCGATCGGAACCAGATTTTTGGTGCATAATCAGTGAGCAAGTCTAGACACACTGATAATGTGCTTTAACATATGACTCAAGTGTGCCCCCTAGATTATTTAATCAGTTATATCTCATTGAATTTTCATCCAATCTGTACCAGATTTATTGTGCATGATCAGTCAGTTAACCATTCTACACACATTAGTTTTGCTGTTTAACATTTGACTCAAGTGCGCCCCCTAGTTTATTCCAACAGTTATATCTCAGTGATACGTCATCTGATCTAGACAAGATTTTTTTATGCTTCATCAGTGAACACTTGTAGACACACTGGTAGTGTTGATTCAAGATTTGACTTAAGCCCGGTCCACTCAGAGAAGAAACTGATGATTATTGGGTGACTATTCCAGCTTGGCACTGTGTAAGATATAAGACTGAAACAGTATTCATTAACTGTTGATTACCACATATGACATTTTGAAAAGCCTAAATGAAGTCCTTTACATTCGCTACAAAACAGGAAGTGACAATAACTCCCGCCTGGAAGGTCGGATTCTAGTCAAACTTGTAAGGCTTGCAGCTGGACTCATACTGAAATGGGCGGAAGGTGATTGCAAAGTTTAGGCATATGAGCACCCTGGCAGACGTGTGCAAGAATGGCACGAGAGCATTTGCGACGGCAACTGGGATGCGTTGATGGATCACCCACGGTGATGTCAAAGGATCGGCGAATGTGCACCCCGGTGAACGGGTGCGGGACAGGAGTCAGAGTATTCGCGATGGCGACCGGGCAGAGTAGCTGGAGCTCCTGTGGTTGCCATAAGACCGGAGCGGCGCTTTGCTGCCAGGGCCTTCAATGCTGGTTGCAGCTTTAATTGGGGGCTGCCATTGCATTGCATAGGAAAGCAGTCTGTAAATGATGCTCTGAAGTCTGGTAAGCTGCACAACATCATGCTTTGTCGAAACGAGCTCGTTACCTCAACCAAATACAGTAGATTGTGAACTTCTTGAGGATGTCGTCCAATGTACAATAATGCCTTTAAACATTTTTATTTGTTGAGTTCTCTGCTTGGTACATTATTTTTCTTTTTTGTTTGTTTGTTTGTTTGTTTGTTTAAACAATTTAAAACATGACAGTAATGTCACTGTTTAAAGGAAACAGTTGCTCAATAAATTAGTAGAATGCAACTTATGTTTGGTTTCTTTCATCTAAGGTAGACATGGTGTGACCGATGTACTGGTTTAGATTTTTTGTATTTACTGTAACTGACCTTCAAAAGAGCTAGAAACGGAGACTCAGCAGCTGATCCTCTGTAGAAAAATTATATGGACTACAGGCCATGTATTATTTGTTTTATGACATTTAGTGAAGGTTTTTGTTTGGATTAAGGAAATAATCGTCTCTATTTCACCACAGATGAATTGTTTCTGTTGCCATATCTTTTGAAATTAAACTACAGAACACAAAGTAATTTAAACAGGAATGGGTAGAAGATCAAATCAAATTCAATGTATTGCCTAAAAATTAAATGAAAAACAGGAGCAGGACAGGAGTGGGAGTCATGTTTTTTTTTTTTGTTGTTTTTTCCCTTGTCCTGTCCGGCATTGTGACACTTAGAATAATTGTCTGAGTGTCAAAGTGATGACCAACAGATTTACTTTCACAAGCAGAGCACTATGGCTGGCCTTAATGCTCCACTTGATATATTCAAAAAGTGTTCAATACAAAAACAACTTGATATATAAATTAAATTTTATTATAATATGCTTTGGGTTTGTTCCAGATGTAATGGACATGGGGACGGAAAACAAAGAAGATAACAAAGCAGAAAAGTGAGAGAAGAG